AAATGAAGGATTGAATGATAAAGGAATCAAATAAAGGATTGAATGATAAAGGAATCAAATGAAGGATTGAATGATAAAGGAATAAAATGAAGGATTATAAATGATAAAGGAATCAACTGAAGGATTGAATGATAAAGGAATCAACTGAAGGATTGAATGACAAAGGAATCAAATGAAGGATTGAATGATAAAGGAATCAAATAATAAAGGAATCAAATGAAGGGTTAAAGCATAAAGAAAATCAAATAAAGGAATGAAAGATAAAGGAATCAAATGAAGGATTGAATATCAAATGAAGGATTGAATATCAAATGAATGAAGATTGTAACAATCAAATGAATAAGATGCAACTATCAAGTGCAAGAGACATTAAATGATTTAACACTCAATAAAATGGGAACGAAAGAATGTAATAAACCAATGGAGAAAGAACTGACATCTTCAACTTCATAAAAAAAAAAGTCATATATATCCAATATTAAATTGTGTTTATAAAATGATACAACACAACAGAAACATTTGCATTTTGTTTTGTGTTTAAAAATAACATACAAACGTCAAATAACTTTTTAAGTTTTAAAAAAATTACTAATACGTACAAAAATGTGGCTTACAAAAATGTGGCTTAAGTCATCATCAAAAGGAAATTGTAAAGTTAATTATGAACAAATTTAATTGTGTTAATCACAACTTGCACGGTGAGCATGTGATGTTTAAAATTTCAAACATCTGGGTTATAATATTGTTCTTTTGTTTAAAATTCTTGGTTATCAACAGTGTAGATAGCCACGTGACTTGTAAAATATTCTTTTTATAAATCTCTGAACCAGTCAACTGAAATACATCGCAAGCAACATTTTAACTGTTTTTATGACATTGTACGCTTCTATTTAGAATTCCAAATGATGTACAATTATCAGGTAATTCAATGCATTGGATATTTTTAAGCAAATAATTCTACTAATTACAAAGCTGCATAAATAGACATGTACAGTGGCTTTTACTTAAATTAATTGGGAAATTTAAGAGAATGTAACTTGTCATAATGAGAAACATCAGAATTGATAGCAGCGTGAATGGTGTACCTGGGGGATTCCATACTCATACATGTAGATGAAACGTGTAAATTCTATTTGGATTAAGACACCTATCTACAGTAGAAAATGTTCAATAACACCATAGATGCATATGAAAACCTTGCATGGGCAACGAGCTCGCAAGAATCCAACAAAGAGCCACTATTACATTTTACATACAAAAAACATTAAACAGACATTATGCAAGAGCTATTAACTTATCAAGACCACAATCAACTCTCGATATCATCGCTAGCCTGTGATATATACTGGATTAGGATCCGATTTGCTGCTCAACTTTCATTCATGATTTCATCATGAAACGGAAAATTGAGACTATGTTTTTTATCGTACCAACTTAAGTAATGATGATTGAGGCTAAGCCGAAAATTCAAATGCTAAATTCTCAGTTCAGAGTGGATCAATTTGACTGAAATTTTCAGCAAATTTCCTTTCCATTATCTAGTTTGTAACTATTATAGTGAGCATTGACAGCTCTTTAGCCCACATCTCCTAATGTATCTTTAAGAAACACAGACACCTGCACCATCCATGAAGAATGACACAAAAGCCAACGATATTTAATGCAAACATTACCAGAGAACAATATGTAAAAATATGCATAACTTTAAGGTTGTCATATAATATATAATTTATACAGCACATACAGGTAAAGATTATATTCAAGGGAGTTACTGATGGGTGAACTTTTTTTTTTATCAATGATTGACAGGTTTACATCAACACCTTTAACCTTTGGTGTTAAATCAGCTGTAGGCTAAGATATTATAGGCTTCTGAAAACAAAAATATAAAAAATCTACCTTAGTAGACTCAGCGTTATAGCTTTAAATCTAAATTGATTGACATCCTTTCTTAACAACGCCTGATTTCATGATACAAAACAAGAGTTTAAAAAATCAAAATAGATGTAGTGAAATTTTGATAATTTTTTAAAAATACTGTCAAAAGCAGAATAAGATCAAACCTGATTAAAAATGCCTGAATTTTTTGTTTCCCAACAGAGTATTACAATGGTGTTTTATTTTAACTTAAAAATATCACCACAACATTATAATAAATGCAGAAAATCTATAAAAAGATGTATCGCTACTCACAATTTGTATTACCACATTTTTTTGAGTAACACAAGGCTGGGAGTGTAATAATAAGGTTTGCATAAGATAAAATACTTGCATCTATAAAAGGGTCTTCAGTCTTGTGAAGAGATTTGAAAACCCATCATAGACATTTATTAACATTTGAGATTTTTAAAGTCTTCTAAACCAAATCTTTAACCATTTTCTGAAGTCACAGTGACTCAGTAAACCAAATCTTCAATCATTCCCTCAAGTCACAGTGACTCAGTGAGTATGGTGCTGGCTGACTTACTAGGGGGAATCTATTTGGATCCCAGTATTGGCTGAGAAAGTTCCTCAGGATGGTCTAGCCTTGTGTCCACTTGTCAGTGGTGCGAGAGAGAGAGAGAGAGAGAGAGAGAGATGGGGTTTAACATCCACTCGACACAAACTAGGTCATTTTGAGACTATCATGTGGTTCAATTTTATTTCAATAAATCGCTTGCACGTAGGGAGGAAACCGGAAAACCGGGTGCAGGAGAGAGGGCCTGACAAGGACCTGGAGAAAACCCACATACAAGCGGGGAATCAAAACCATGGCACTTGACTCAATGACAGACCTTCTGATCCAACGCGCACACGTTAACCATTAGATAAAGCATGTATTTGTACATTGCTAAATATAATTAACACATCACAATGAGAAACAGCAGTGTTACAAACCACTACCATTCTGGCTCAAGATCTCAATCTACAGAATTGATAAATAAAAATCTGTTAACTAAAATCTAGTGTCAAAATCAAATACCAGAAACTCAAATAATTTCCGAATTTGTTAAAACATGCATTGCTAAATATAACATGTGACATCATATGTTGCTTTGTCACGCCTACCTGTGAACATCCAGTTGACATTCCCTCAATTGTTATGCAATTAGTCATTAATTGTTTAGTTAAAAAAAGTCGAACAATCCCTTTGTGAGTAAATTTTGGTATTCGTTCTCTCTGTAAAAATCATGGACAAATAACAGAGCTTGTAAGTTCTCTCAAGGATAAAATCTTTACAAATAAACAATGAAGCTGAAAGATTTTGCTTTATAATTCAAAGGCCGACATATATAAAGTTGATATTTATTTTGACTTTTGATGAGTAATGCAATATACAGTACTTACCCTTCTATAACACTAATTATGAAATGTATATTTGAATATTTCCTCTAAAACAAACAAATTCTCCAGACAAATGTCAACACACGTAAAGTCAAAATAAACAGGTAGAAATATCACATACACCTGAACAGCAGACGGCTAAACAAGTTGATAAACCTACACGGAACAATCCAATAATATGACGATTGAAGCCACAGGTATGCTTAATATAACTCCCAATGTATGTATACTACTCAGGTATAATGAAGGTCCTCAACAGCTCAATATACCACATCGAATAAAAACATCTTATCACTTGAATCAGACGGTCTTTTGACAAATTATGTTGTAAGTGTTGATCTATTCAGTAATTTAGATAGACGCACTCTCTCGTGACAAAAAAACAACTGAACCTGGGCTAGCCCACTGTGGTATTTGTTTAACGGTCATGCACAATGATTGCTCCCTGGTTGTCACCTATAAGATAGATTGATGATGATGTCTGGGTATTTCTAAGTTTAATGATATATTCTATTTGTCCAGATTAAAACTGTTATCTCGACTCTGGAGTGTTGTGTGTGGTGCATATACAATAGAGGGGAATCCCCAAGATAAGCCAAGCTTCATGTTACTATCCAAGAAAGATAAGCAAACTAGGACAAGTAGATTTCTCTCATTAAAACTTAATTAATGTGTATGATGTATCTTCTATCCATTAGCTTCAAGTTTTGTGGAATCTTAATTAGGTGTATTTGAAATAACTGGGCAAACATTGTCATTTACATCATCACAGACTACAGATGCGCACTTTACAGATATGAGGTCAACTTTTAACATAACCTACATGTCTTTATCCAAACAAACAAATATTTAAAATGATTATAAAATGTACCAGTAAGTAAATGTTTTGTTAACCTAAATATTAATTAAATGCTTTTTTGAGAAAATTGAAACCTAAATAAATGTTGTTTACATATGCCATATCATATATCAATATTTGTTAATATTCATAAAAAATATAGCCTCAGGTAAGACAGGGTTTATGATTAGTTTGACCTCACAAAAAAAAGCATAAATTACTCAAAAATTATTAAAAAGTTGATTTTTATAAGAAAAGCAGACATGAAAATGAATTAAAAGTTTCCAATGACAAAAAAAATATGTGGATTTTTATAAGATTATTTTTATGTGACTTTGTAAATTTGTCTACTGAATGAAACTCATATAGAAGTCCAACAAAAATTATATTTAGTGAGTATTTTGATTAAGTCAAAAAGAAATGGAATAAATCTCTCGTTAATACAATACTTCAGTCATTTTGAGACTAAAATACAATTATTTTTTCTATGGTCACGTGCTCAATGCTATACAGGTGTTTCTTCTTCTTCAAATACCCACTGTCAAGCCACGGTTCTTTTACATGCACACCAAGGTATACAAACGCTGACTGTGCTGGGGTTTTTTTTTGGTACCATTCAAATATTTTACTACCCTGAGAAGTGGGAACCAGTCTTGATAAATGATAATGTCATACAATTGTATCATTATATAACAGAATGGAATACAATTTCCTGACACCATTCAGTGGCCAAATGCAAATTACAAGAGGTGAAGATAAGTCAGAGAAACAAAGTATTTCCTAGTATGGCAGCCATTCTACCTGAAATAAAATATAATTTGAGAATGTCAGAACTTACCTCGTTTGCGTGGTGGAGCTACTGGCGTCTGTAGATCTCTGTTTTTACCTTCACGATCTTCACTTACAGATCTCTTTACAGTCTAAAATAAACAAAAGAAAAAGTTTAATAAAAAAATCCTTTTAGAAATCTAAATCAAACCGGACACTTTCTTAAACAAAAAGCTTTGAAACTCATGATTCCATCACTGTTGCTTAGTGCATGTATTTCACATTCAAATATTAATCTTAAAATTTGAAAATATAGTTTTACACCTTCTGAGATTCCAGGATGTACTGGAACAAAATATGTTGTTACATCACCAGGATAATAGAATTACTGTCAGCTGAAGATACCTGGTTTCTGCTAATTAGAAGGTTCCATAGAGAAATTAAATCAATATTACAGGAATTACTCAAAACTTCTGATATACAATCAATCGCTCTTAATTGCAGCAGAACTAAGACCACAATTACTGGTACTATTTAGACAACCTTCTCCTATCACTGACTTCCCTTCACACACGAAAATCAATATTAAGAGCATCCACCACCAAATATTCTTGACTAAAACCAAAATAAAACCTACAAAGGTATATATGCTGTAGGTAAATTAGCCTACTCAAGACCCTGTTTTATTAGATTTTAATCAGAATGTTTGGCAAACTCGTTCATCTCCATCAAAACTCTATAATGGCAAAAGTCAACAGGTGTGAGTGCTACCACAAAACTTCATGCAAAATCCATCAATTTTTTTATCATCTTATTTTTTCATTAATGATATAAAGTTTCGTTTAACTACCAAGAACAGATGATACACAGACTCTAAACTTTTCATACTTTACCGAACTGAAAAATTAAAACTGTCTCCAATATTTCGTCTAATAACCCATCATCAGTATTTGAAATTCTGTTGTTTGGGCAAGCATGTTTCTCCCTTGCACTGCATGTGACTATAGCAAAAAAATAATTTTAGCCTCAAAATGACCAAAGTATTGTTTTGACAAGATTCTAACCATAGTTTCGTTTCTTACAAAATTACTATGGTATATGTACCTTGAACCACTGAATTTAACTTTCTGGTATCTTTTTTTTAAAGGAAAAATCATACTTTTTTTTATCACTTTTCATTACAGGTAGCTAGTGATATATCATCCTGGTTTTCTACCCAACATTACACATACTGAAATAATCATCTTTAAACTTTGTTTTTTTGCTGAATTGACAGATAAATCATACATATGGTTGTACATGTAATAGGGAGATTGATGGATTAATACCATCATACTTCTGCTCGGCAATCTGCGTTTTATTCCAATGATGATGAGTCACATTGTTGTATTCTTTACCTTCTTGATTTACATCTATACCTTATTAGCATGTACACGCAACAATGTGCAGTCTATCTCTTGCAGGAAAAAATATAAAATTCTTGAAGCAGTTCACATCTCAATATCTAAATGTTATTAGTCAATGAAATAAGGTACCAACTTTTTCAGTTTAAAGACACAAATTCTATTCCACATATCTCAATTTCCATTCATCTGAACCTGAGAACAAGTGGAAGTTACAAATAAAAGATTTAGTACCTGTACTTTCATTAATGCCATCAATTTGTATAAATTACTCTAGAGAACAATCTAAAAATCTTGAAGCCGTTCACGCTCATTAGAGATACAAATTCAATTCTAAAAATCTCATTTTCTATTCATCAGAAACAAAGAATAAGTAGATTTTCCAAATAAAAGTTTTACTATGTTACCTGTATAAATTAGTCTAGAAAACAAAATAAAATAATAAAACACAATCCACTGGTTAAACTGTTTAAAGTAAGTTTTGACCACTGTCCCAACAATGATTGTCAGTACTTATTTTCCAGTATAATTTGGAACAGGAAATACCAATTTATTAGTTACCATTTAACCTTTAGTAAGTAAATTATAATATTTTTATCATACAACCCAGGTTCTCTATGTAGCTATTAAAGTACAATGTGTGAGTGAGAAATGAAACTAGATGAAATAACCAAACAAAAGATAGGGCACCATCTAACGATTTCAGCCGAATTAATCAAGATGTTCTAATCTGTAACCTTTGTTAGAAAATATTTTTTAACATGATCATCATTATACACTACCCAGTTTGTTGTTAGGAATTGGAACAGAACACTGCCTTAAGGCAGAAAATATCCCCCATATCTTCCTGTAAAACTGATATAAATTGGTTTTAACAGTGAGGCTGTCTTTATACCGAGTTGTAATCCAAGGATAAAGACTTTATACATTCTATTAAAAAATACAAGAGTGTCCCATAATACTGAGGGAGTTATTGGTTTGGTGAGTATGGTGCTGGCCTGTTCAGTAGAAGGTCCAGAGTATGGTTACGGAGTTGACTGAGAAAGTTCATGAGGATTTTTCCTTGTTTATGTTCCAAGGAAAGTGTCTCTATACATAATTTTTGTATATCCCTGTGTATCTATAAATATATACCGCTATCAGTATATTAAAATGCAAGCATCATATCAACAATTATCATTATATATAGTGCAATAAATTGACTGGGACACCTACTGGGACATGCAAAATAATTGACTTTTCTCACGGCAATCAAAATAATTGGCTTGGAAGTTTGGACCAGAAGACATCATTAGGCAGATAACAAAATATGTTTGACCAGCTTTAGCAATACATTATTGTACTTATTCTTATGAATTGTGTGAGTAAAGGCCAAGTAAAGTCATTTAGAGAGAGAGAGAGAGAGAGATGGGGTTTAACTCCAATCAACACAAACTAGGTCATTTTGAGACTAACATATGGTTCAATTTTATTTCAATAATTCACTTGCACGCAGGGGTCTTTAGCAGTGGGAGGAAACCGGAGGACCTGGAGAAAACCCACAAAGTTGGGCAGGCGACCCTATTCCTTGTCACGTATAAACGGGGAATCGAAACTACGCCATCTGACTCAATGACAGACCTAATGATACAACGCGCACGCGCTAATAACCATTCAGTCCCCCCACCACCCCCAAAGTTATTTATAGGAAACTAATACTCAGGACAAGTGCAATAACTATAAGATAAAAAGTGAAAGAACTGCCAAAATTCAAGTTGGTGTGTCTTGTTCGCCGAATACATCACCCGAGTAGCCAATCACTGATGTTGAGAATGTCACGTGATTTTTTTAAAGACAAAATAGCGACTATCAGGGTGCCGAATGATTTGGGCAGCAATTCACCTAGTGTGTCTACCGCTTAATGAACACAACTGTTTTGAATGGAATGGAATGTCATGGGGTTTGATGTCTCGTCAATACATCATTTTGAGACTAACATATAGTATTTATCATGTCAAAGGTTATGTACGCCATGCGAGGAGGTGGACTTTTGTCTGAACTACAACATTTCTGCCTACTCTTCATCAAATTGTATCAGAAAAACTATATGCACTTTCTGAGACAACACTGTAGGTTTTTCCTGATCTAGGCTGGGATCCAATTCCAAACCCTGGACCATTTGCTCCTCAATCGCTTCGAGATCAAGGCATCATAAAGAAGTTTAGCAACAGTAAAACCATAATAATATTTCCATTATAATATATGTGCAGTGGATATTTTATTTCACAAAGAAATTGAAGAAGCCATTAAGGTAATAATTCACACTCGACCTAAACTATAATATCAACCTGTGATAAGGCAATGTATTTAAGTATCCACAAATACTACTTGACATTCCAGACTAAACTAATCAGCTTGTCATAGACTTGAATATCAAAACATGTTGACTTTCTTCAATACAAGAATTTGGTCTGATTGAACGCCAAAAAGCAAACAATTCTGTGTTTGTCATACAAGTTGTCATTATAAGATAATTTGGTGTTTTTGTCAACAATAAAGCACTATTAACGTTCATTCGTACAACTGCTTAATTATACTTGTAAATTTCACATTCCAGAAACCAAAACTATTATAATGGGTCCAAAAAACCTACAAGACCAGCTCTATAAAATACATTTCATTGCATCCCATTTATTCACATTATTCATCAATTTTGGAAAGATTAATTTTCGTGCAGTATAGTTATGTCACAATTGAGCGTCTATAAAAAGCCAATGTTCACAAAATGTTCACTCAAATTGTACCTGATAAACATTTTTTTCTACTGACACAGAATGTTTTTTAAGAGTTTGTAAGAATCCTCTATTTAAATACCTATAAGTTTACAGATGGTAGCTGAAAAACTACACTACAATAAGTAATGAATGTTATACCCAAGCATACTACACTTATTAATCTAAAACATATGATACCAATTCCAACAGATAAGCTATATGTATCCATTGAGTGTAATCAGGATAGGATTAAAAGGGGGCATATTCTGGTTATTGTCTCTCGCAATCACATACGACTTATGGTACACCAATTTTTTTATAACCATTAGGACTGGCTTAAAGTTCTAAGCCTATCTGTAAAGGATCTTTACAAAGCCGACAGTTTCAATTTATTTTTCTACATAGTGCCCTTAATTCAAGGTGTACACACTTTTGCCAATGATGTTGCAGGGTCTGGATGCCGGTCAGGAAGAAATTTACTTCAGCCACCCTAAAAAGTCGTTCACAGCCTACATGATGTCATCTTTATTAGGAAAATGACTAACGGCTAGTTCCTTTTTCATTTTTGGAAACAGGATGAAGTCTGACAGGGCCAAAAATAATCAGGATCTGCTTCAAAACGACATAGATTGACATAGGACATCAGGAAACTGACACATTTCTGATTCAAAGTCAAGCGCTTTGGCACCAATCTTGCTGAAACTTTTGTCATTCCTAATTCATGGGCGATAATGTGCTCATCCCCTTCATGAGAGAAGTCCATAACACTGACAATATGTCTAGTGGTCAATTATCCATCAGCCATTACGACATGCACTTGGGTAATGTTTTCTTGAATGGTTGCTGTTAATAGCCTTCCAGAACACCAGTCATCATTAAGGCTCTCTCTGCCACGCTTAAATTCTGCAACTCACTTCTTTACAGTGGAAAAGGAAGGGGCATCATCTATCTTGCAGAACCTTTTGTCATTTCTAATTCATGAGCGATAATGTGCTC